TTATTTTTCAAATGTTAGAAACAATGGGAATAGTAGTCAGATTGATTGCTTATTTGTTTTGTTAAAGAAAAAAAGAATTATGATTGCCAATACAAATAAATAAATGAATTAAAAATGATAATTTATAAACGATTACCTCCAAACAATATTTTTGTAACCGCCTGATATTATTTCACAAACTCATAATGATCAATCTTATTTGAATGTCCATAGAAAACATATTCACTAGGTAATACCTCATCTTTCGAAGTATAACTAATTGTAAATTAATATCTACGAATTATAAAAAACTAAGATTCATTCGGTTATTTATTTCATAATTCGTTTAATTTTCTTCCAAATATAATTCTGTTATTTTTTGATATACTTTTATTATTTTTCAGATGACAAACACATTTATTACAAATTAAGAACCTTTGTATATTAGGTCAGCCATAAATATTTAATTTTTTAAAGTATAAAAATAAATAATTTAATAATCTATTGAAATGTATTACTTGAAGACTAAATTAATAGAATTCATTGAAACTTTTGTATTTTCTACTGTTTTCTTAGAATCGTTGAAGTATGGATTAAACGAACCATCACTTGCAATTCTTCTTATTTTTCCACGTTTACATAACTACTATAATAAATTAGTAGACATACGTAATGGTAATGACAAAAGAAAAAACCGGCAGAATTTTATTAACAAAACAGGACTACTACGGTATTAGTTTGTAGCATCGTTGTTGCGGCTGTCATCGATTAATCTTGTCTTCGAACATTCGAGGGAGGTAATCGATTTGACCTACTAAAGAGGATAAGTAGTTATGCACACAGACAGAAGACTGATTTTTCCCTGAATGATAGCTGACGTTCACGATGGACCCGGTAATTTTGTTCCTGGCTCTCGTTACCAATATGCTCATTAACGGTACCGATTAATCATTGAAAGTGGTACGTGAGGGGTCGTATGGTCACTTGTGATGCAGAAAATGCAGTTACCTTGTCGGTAAATCAACTTACAATCACGAACAACGCAATCTAAGCTCTTACTTTGAGAGTAATCCAGAATAAATTCATAATAGATTAAAATATCATTTTACATGTATGATAACATGCTCAAACAAAAATAAACTTAGTATTTTAACAGCTATCTTACGTTATAATAATGTATATCTATATATTACAGTATTTTTTTAATTCACGTATCTCACAGTAAAACCTAATGGGGACGAAAGTTTTTTGTCCATAATCATTCAACTGTTTTCAAATATCGGGTAGCACTATATTAATGCGTGTGCTATTGTAAAATACACTCCGGAATTTTGGGGGAATCGAATATTTCTCATTTTTCAGCTTTTTGTTTATTAAACGAAGATTAATAAACATAATATTAACATATAGTTAATTTTTTTGGAAACAAAAAATTGTTTCAGTTTAATAAGTTTTTAAAAAATTTTTGTATTAATATTGTAGCTTCTTAAAATTTCATTCTAAGTTTTAACTATTAATTTTTCGCTGTTAAATCTGAACTGATCCGATTCAGCTCGGTCTACTATCAAATACAATAATTTATTGATACTATTCGCACATCAAATACTAAGGTTTTCGTGTTTAAATTCAGAAATTCGTAAGTGAAACAGAATTTTAGAGCTTAATTATATTCTTACTTTAACTGGCTTCGGAATATTTTCGGATGGAATAACAACACTTATTTTTTAATTACTAACTGACTTTATTTTGGGTGCTCTGCTTTTTATACACTTTATCACAGGGTTCTTGGAACCAAGTGTGCACTAGATGACACCTGAACATGACATTGAAGTTATGATATTTTTCTGGTTTTAAAGTTGAGTTAGTCCTCTAAATTTTGCACGTTTGGCTTTAGATAATTGTGTTAGAGATTCAAAACCATTGACAGCGACGATTTTCAGAAGATTCTTTAATTTTTACAATGCAACATAAACACAGTCGCAGCCTATCTAAAGCCTTTTAAATTTCTATACATCATTGTACCGACAGGGACTGTTTCGTTGTTTGTACTCGCGACTTTATGTTTATTAGTTCTAAAAGAATTGGCTATGGCTTCTCGTCAAGCCATCTACATTGCTGAACAAAAATATAAGACACTTGGGATATTTCTATATACCATATATTTTAAAGAAAAAAATGTACATTTTATATATCCTATGTCTTATATACCATCTCTAGAATGTATATACAAAATCTTAAGTTCGAAGAAAACATATTGTTGAAGCTGCAGAAAAAAATGTCACAGAACATTTTTTAATACCGAATTTAATCATTTGCCATTGACCCAACGTTTTATTTTAATGTTTTCCATAGCCCCCTATGGATAATAGTTCATTGGCTACTTTTACATATTTCTTTCCTTTCTGTAATATTAAATCATGAAACAATTCCTTCTTGAATGTCATATGCTTTGATATACCAAAAGAGTCCATAAATGGCCTAGGTAGCTATGATGGCCTATCAATCGAGATGGCCTAGACTTGTTCTCTTCTTTATCAGTGATTATTTTTAGTCAGTGATTAGTTAAATCAAGACATTACGAGCAAGTTCGTGAATCTTTCTGAATTTCTGTTGGTTTTCATTACTCAGCATTCCAATATTAACTTCGACAGACCATAGTTTATCATTTATATTGTATTCCATTTTGATAATTTTTTAGAAGATAGTTTTGATGAAAGTGTCCATTGTGTCGTCTTCGATTGAGTTAGTGACATATTGAGGAAGGATATAAGTAATATATTGTGTGCACTTTGGAGAGTGATTGAAGTTCAGCTTAGATCTTCAAATGGAGTTTGCAAAGTCTCGTTTGTCCTTAGACCTCAGCGGTAACTTCTACAAGTTGATTACTTGTTCAAATTTGTGGAAATTTCACTTTTACAGAAGAACATATGGTGTCCTGACAGCATCACCAAAGTTATATCACAGTCGGAAGTCACCTCAGAGACGATAATTTAAATGCAATATTAATTCTCCGGATGCAAAAGAATAATAACAAAATGTAACACTTGATTGATACTATTAAAGCACATCCAATATTACAGTTAACGTTTTAAGCTTAGAAATTTGTAAACAGGGTTTCAAAGTTTTGTCCTTGATTGCATTACTGATTGATTATATTTAAACTGCTCTGCTTTTCATATAGCTTTATCGCGGGCTTCTCGGAACCAGATGTGCGCTGAATGACACCTGAGTATGATACTGAAATTAGGCCACTATCATAGATACCATCTTTGTGAACGACTGTCTGGCAGGTCGTTTGAACACTTAGGACGTCCTAGAAGACCCTACTCGAATCGACTACCAGGCGATTTTGTTATCCTCGAAAAGAACACAGCCTGAAATTCAGCCTACTCTATCAACCTACAAAAATTTCGGTTTCTAATAAAAATAAATACTGCTGAAGATGTACCAAATGGAACAACGACAAAAGCGAAAAGAGGACTTGGACGTACCATCAAAAGACGAAAGTGAGAAAGTGGAGCAATTTTGTGATGCGCTCACAAGGGAACTTTTTCAACCAGCACAAGCCAATTTTAATGAAATTTGTATGAGACAAAATTCTCAAGAAAAAATTTGATGTGTATTTTTTCTTATCGGCCAACATCTACTTTGAACGAGTAAAAACAGCCTTCAAAGTTAAGGGTTGAAAATATATTTTGTACAATATCTCTGAAATTAGGGGACGCAAAAAAGATATCTAAGTTGTTCATTTTGAGGTGAGTAATTTAAAAAAAAAATTTCTTTTCCAAGCTCTCTAGTTGCAGAGATATTGTAAAAAATATACTTTTAACCCTGAACTTTGACGGATGTTTTCAACCCTTCAAAGTGGATGTTGGCCGATAAGAAAAAGAACGTGTCAAATTTAACAACTATGTCTTAGATAAGCTTTATCAAAATCAGGGCGTGGTGATTGAAAAGATTCCCTTGTTAGTGTTGTTACGGGGCGGTGAGCAATGAAATGTAAGCCGTGTCCATTAGGAAAGATTTCCCTGTGTTCCGCTAGCATCTCTATCGTGCATTATCAGAGGTTTGAAGACCGATTTTAGCTAACCAGTATCAGCGTTTCCTATTAAGCGTATGCCATACTCGGAGTTGTGAATGAGTAATCATCAATCAGATGTTTGTATTTAAAATTATGTATTAAGATATACATACATTATTATGAAATGTTACAGGATTTTACTTTTAACACTATTACTGAATATTATGATGGACTGTGTTTTAAAGAAAGGAGTACACATCGAAATATTTTAAAACAGTTCCAGCTAGAAACAAAATGATATTGGTTTTTGTACATGAACATAATATTGTGAAATACAACTGCTAATTCAAAAAGTGAAAACGAATATTTCTATATGAACTAGTGTTTACTAAAGTTTCGTGAGAAATCATATATGACAAAAGCATGACAATATTTATTGTTTCCCAAGTTGGAAAACGATTTCTCGGAATCATGAACGTCTTACATAAATCTGAAAGTTATTGAATTTGTTAACTAAAAGATTATTGGACTATGTCCAGTAAAGGTGCAGCACTTACCTTTGTTTATGCGTTATAGATAAAATTATACATAAATTTATTGAAATCAGATGTATTTTATTATCGTTCAACAATGAAAATTAAAAATACTGGCTTACGGGTTTGAAATCAGTCAATTAAATTAATAATGGTACAATGAAGATACATAACTTATAAATTTGTTATCATTGCTATGTAAATAAATTTCCTTTTGCAATAAGAAAGCATGTACGAAACGGAACAGAAAATTTGGTATAGTTGAAAGAGTATTATATTGTATGATAAAAAAAATGGAATACTTATATACATGTTACCATAAAAATGATACAAATATAAAAAAAACAGTAAATAAGTAGCTGAATAACTCTTAATGTGACTAGACTACAACATTAAAAGAAATTATATGTTTAGTTTAAAACGACTTTACGCAGGATTATACAGATATGATTTTTTGCTTACCCGAATTTCTCTCATATACATTTTATTTTATTTCTATTACACATCATCTGCTTTTGTCCCTTTTTAATTTTCTAACTATTCTTCGCATTTGTGTGTACATCACTCTGATTCATTTTCACGAATTTTAAGTAATCAAAATTGATTTGCCAGTTGTTCTAGTTACTTTTTATTCTACTTTCTTCCCTTTTATATTATTTGTAATATATTATTCGATACTTAATTTAATCTTATCATCTATTTGATTTCTGTTTTTTCTCATAAGTTATTAAACTATGTTCAGGTTTTACATACATTACACAATTAAGCAGTTATCTGATGTCGAAACAAATCGTCAGTGTTGCACTAATGCTGAAATTTCATCAAAGTTGTATTATTATAATCATTACAAATATCACAATGTATCTTGTACATTCCTTTAACTTTTAATTTAATTTTTGAAAGAATGAATTTACTTATTTAGAATAATGAAGACTTCAATTTTAATAATTAACAATTGAAAAAGAAAGCCTACTGTATGCTAAACAATTTTGCTAAATAGTTTTAATACATTTCTTCTGTTGTAAATTAGTGTTCTAATTGAACAATTCTGATTTTTTTCAAACATAAACACATATTAGATAAGTTACATACATATAATTGGTATTTTCCTCAAAGTTTATGTAACTTAATCGCATATTTGTTTATGCCGAAGTTCTAGTAATATTATGAAAAATAGAATCTGAGCAATATTTATTAATTAAGACTCGGATTCTGTCCAATATCCCACTGAACTTCAATTCTTGGCCATTTCGTTTGAAGTACTGTCAACATAGGGTTACTTTCCAAAATACCTTTGATGGTACATTCTAATAAAACCGCTTGTCCTTTACGATACATTACTTTACTTTCCTTATTACTTCGCGAAAGACCATTGTAGTGATATAATGGAAATATATCAGGACAACTTCGTGTTTCTTCGGGAAAAAATTCGTCCATAAAGGAAGAACGCAATATAATTCCCAAGTTTTCACTATCCAACTTTTTCCTCATTATATCGACACTGTAAAATAGAATAAATTATAAAACATTAGCGTTTAAAAATAATGTACTTTAATATTTATTTTATATACGTATCAAATGCAGTATTAACATTTGCAAGTATAAAATTGTCAAAAAAACCTCATACAACATTCGGTTGAGGTATGCCATCGACATTAATATTACTCGACATTCACCGTGAGAAGGTTGCTCGGCCAGACATTGTACATCAACTCTAAACGCTGATATCTCAGTAACGATTTATGAAACTATATTATAAGAAATGCACACTTCTATTGAAAATATCGAACGTAAATTTCATAAGGCTTCCCAAAATCATCGTATAGTCAATTATAGGCACTGTATATACATGCTCCTTAGACCCCTACGATAATTCCCACGAGTATTTTTTTGTATCTTTCATATTTTTCGAGATAATTACACGTTTCCAGATAAATCACACACACTAGATGAAGTTAAGTTTGTTATATTAAGAACCATTTAATTTTGCACGAAATATTCTTCTCCTAAAACTAACTTGCTTCACGGCAATACAGATACAAGGTAATATCATCTCTTAAACTTGAATTATCACAGGTAGATAATACGTATCCATTATTTTTGGTTTTTCTACAAGCCTATAAAGTTTAACGTACTGTCTAGTTTCTATCAATCAATAATGCATATTTCTCAATTTCATTTGAGAATAACTTCTAATAAAGATATAAGTAATAATAGCGCGAATCTGCAGGTGGTGTACTTCAATCGAGAATGGTTGTAAGAATACATACATGTATATGTTTAAGACGCATATGACGGAATTGATTTGCAGAATTTTCTGGAATTTTCGCGGAGTGTGTAAAAGCAGACGTTAAAAAATGAAATGCACGATTTTAACCCTTTTACTTGAGAAGTGACTCTCAGTGACCACTTGATTTAATATAGCAAAATTATAAAGTCTTATATATAATATTAAGCTTTGTACAATGTATCAATATGTGAAATATTGAAATAAAATAGCTTTGTTCCTTAATTTATGTATATTTTCTCATTAGTTAGTATCAAACAATGTCGTCTATATCTCATCGGAAAATGTTGAGTATTTATATTTATTTAATGTTAATATTAAACTCTCGAGTGCAAAGAGTTAATAAACAGAGCAAGAAAACTTGTACTCGTCAGAATGATCTTCAACTTGTCATACTATACACTTTACGTGGAATTTTCAGATATCGCAAGGCTAATAGTAACACTCAAACGAATAAAGAACAACGACATTCATTACATCCATGTCAGCCTTAAGCTACCGACATTTCGTGAATTCTACAAATCGCAGACGTTCAGGGTCTCCAGACGGCAATGAAAGGTTTCTATCATGCAAAGACATGTACAGTCGTTCAAGAACCAATAGACATCAGCACTCCACATAATTCCAAGTGCAATAAAAAATTACATATCATTATTAAAACTGCATATTACAGAAACACCGGTTCACTCTATCGAAGATTTTGATTTGTGAAAGGTAATCTGCTATATAACTCAAAGGTATACAAGATATAAGATAGTTAAAATAATTTACCAATAAAACAAAAATTAAAGTAAAAGTTAGAGCTAAAGTCATCAGTTCTGGCAAGAATATCATTTCTCACGTGTCAAAAAATTTCATAGAATTACTTATTGTTACTTATACCATTAAGATTACTACTAAATAAACAATTGATTTGGGGATTAGTTTCTAATATATCATCACCCTTTGATTTAAATGATTTTTAATACCTTGTTAGGGACATGATTTTGGACGACTTTACATACACGTTCATATATATAGAATTCTATGTAGTAGTAACAAAAGTTTTTCGGAATTATCTCGAAAATTAATAATTGCCCGGAGCTGAAATTTGATTTATAGCATTCTCTCCCCCTACTCCCCTTTCCCCCCGAATTTCGGATCCTCCTCCTAATCCTGTAACAAATATCAGGAGTGTCGGATTGGTGACTCGCAAGCTATGGAGGCTCTTTTCACTCTCCGTACCTACTTTTTCCTGTGGGAGATAGGGAATAGTGGGAGAAGGGTGGGGATGGATCATTAAAATTTAACCGTGCATTACTATGTAATGAAGACAGTAAGGAAATTTTAACAAAAAAATTTTAATGAATATAACAATCAAAGATTATGAATACTCTTGTGACACAGTATATATCAGTGTCGTTAAACAGATATGTAAGTAAAGAATAATAATCATATTTTTAATATATAATCTAAAGGTTTCTAAATATGCGTTACTTATTGTATTAAACTAAGCAGTATGTCCATGCGTAACATAAAATACACTACATGATACTTACTATTCTGCATCTGCAACTAATCCAAGTTCAGCAAGGACATCTTGTAACAAATTAGCAGGAATGAAATTGGTTCCCTCGTGATCAAATTTTCTAAACACCCGTTTTGCCTGTTCCGCAGGTGTGTCAGGACTCACTAATCTTTTTTCAGTAGAAAAGAGCACACTTAAATGCGTTTCTGAACCCAATACCCATATAGGATGGGATGGAGACTTTAAAAATGTTCCCACTTCACAATAACGTAAATATTCAAGGAGAGCAAGAAATCCTATAGGGTTCTGCTTGTCTACGCCTCGTAATTCTGAAATAATTAAATCAACTACAGCTTTTACACGTAAATTACTTTACATGTAACTAAGTAATTAATCATTAATATTATTATCCAATTGGTAATGTATGATAAAACATGTAAATCGATGCAAACAATCACATTATTCGTTAGAGCAAAGACATTAACTAAATAATAATTTTTGAATATGATGTATTCTTGTAAAAGAATGATATGTTGAAAAATTAGATATGAATATTAACCTGCGATATGTACAAATATTTAGACATCACAATTTTCTCATAATTTACAAAATACTGATGAACAACTAGAGACTACTAATGTACAACCACTTGGAAGGTGATTTTTATATGATTTATATGAAATTTACGAATTTAAATCAAATTTGTATTTTACGGTGTAAACTAATAATAACTGGTCTACAAAATTTAAAATTTTTTTACCGTAAAAGGTTTAATGAATAATCTTAATAGTATTCATTACGCTGAATTCTAATATCCAATCCGTTTTTCTCTATTACCTATAGTTTTTTAGAAAATGAATTTTGATAAAAAAACTCACATTTTCAACTTTAAACATTTGTTGTGTCTTCATTACTAAAATTTTTCAAACTTTTCTTGCACATTATTATATGAACCTTCATAACATTATAAACATGTGAACATATTTAATCAAAACTGACAAACAAAACTGCAGCTAAAACACACTAATTTTTATGGACATTTTTCAATTTATCTTAAAAACCAAGCGTCTAAGAAAAAATCTAATTCCAGCATGCGCGATAGAGTAGACACCTACCTTGAGGAATCTGTTAAAAATGTTTCGCGGCATAGTTCGTTTTCAATTGAAAATGGAAAATAGTTACGCGCAAGTATTTTCCATTCTTAATTGAAAACAAAATATGTCTCAAAACTTTTAGACACTTAGTTTTTAAGATAAATTGAAAAAGTTTCACTTGCCGTTTTACCTTTTAGCATTGTTTAAACATGTTAAAATGTTTATTGTTATTAAAATTTACATCATTGTGTACAAGAAGATCCATAGAATAATCCTGTTCAAGAAAAGTTTGAAAAATTTTAGTAATTAAGACGTAACAATTGTTCAAAGTTGAAAATTTGAGTTTTTTTTTAAACTCATTTCCTCAAAAACTGTAGGCGATGAAGAAAAATGGATTGGATATTAAAATTCAGCGTAAAAAGTACTATTAAAATCACATATTAAACCTTCAGTGGTAAAAATCATATTGATTAGAGTAATCAATATAAGTGAAGTAGATCAGTTACAATAATGCCGAATCTCCGATAAAAGTTAAAAAATAAATTATGATTTAAAGTATCATATGAAATACATTAATATGTCACATTATCACCACTGCAACAATATAAAAAAGAATATACGCGTTTTGTTGTATGACAAGTAAACTTGTCTACTCGGGGAAATTCACAAGGACATATCAAAATCAACTTGACAAGATTTCAATTGAAAAAAGCCATTACCATATTCGGTAATACTGAAAAATTCTCACTGTACCTCCAATTTTCATAAAATTGACAAATGTTGTAGAAATACACAATTTAAACAATTTTTTATTATGAAAACAATTATGCAACCTTGTAGTTTCCAAGATAATCGCGAAAAACTTTTGCTACCACTACACTGAATTCTATATTATACTAGCCTGTCTGAAACGACCACAAACTTAGCTTCACGCTCACCGCTTCAACGGTGGCTTAGATTGAGCCATTGATCTTTTTGGGTTTCGCGTACTCTTTCGGACAAAAATTTCAACAGTTCCGGTCAATCGCGATACTTTCGTACATTATTTTGTGGTACATATAAAAATAAGTTTCACTGAGGTAATAAAGATTGATATAAGTGGGGCTGGTTTTTACCGAGGTAAGGGTACAAGTAGAAGGGCAGGGCCCTCTCCGCGTCCGTGCTTTTACTTTATAATTTTCTATTTC